GTCGGTTACCACCTACGACCTCGTGAAAATTTTGGCGGATGAACTATTAACTCGGGATTCATGGGAAGATATTCATCCTTCAGGGTTTCGAATTCACCTTTCATGCGCTGGTGCGTGAAATTTTTAATTGTTTTCCAATTTTTGAAAGACTAAAGTATAAAGCAGTGAAAATCATTAACAGGCAATCGTTCTATCGGCTGAATTGCACAAAACGCATGATCGCACCGGCTAGTCTGGTGCGCGTTGCCATTTATTTAATTTACTAGTGGAAACTTCCCGAGGACGAAACGTTTCTTTTTTGGTGATAAATTGAATACCTTAGGAAAAGCCTTTGATGCATCCACAAAGTGACGGCGATCACTAAAATTTTAATGTATTTTTTTTGAAAATATTTTAAATGTGCAACTAAGGTAGTAATAGTGTTTAAGGTAATGGAAGGTGAAATTGAGGCATTCCGTGTCGGCATGCGTCGCTACGCTAAAACAACTAAAGGGATTGAGAACTATTCGCCTCGTATCGTCTGCATTATTGCGTGCAAAAGACATAACAAGCGTTTTGCACTTGACAATGGTAAGGCATTTCTTGGAGCTCCGATCATCACAGTGTTTTCCATCGCGAAATTCAAACGCATTTCAGGTCGTATGCTCGAAAACTGCTTGCCGCTGACAGTAATAGATAAGGATATAACGCGTCCGGACACCACCGAATTTTTCATGCAATCGCACAAAATCATAAAGGTTGTGCTTCAAAGAATGCAGAGTAAAGTTTTCGATGCATCATAGTTTTAAGCTTGCCGGTATGACTGATCCAAAAGTTCTCAAAAGCAAGCCAACTCTTCTGCATTGCATGCCTACATTGGTGATAGTTGTTCCACTCCCTTCGTTTTACAGTTCTTGAATTTCAGGGGACGGGAAAGCTGCCGGCTTATTCGATGCCGTTGAATGAAGCAAATCTGACGATGGATGAAGCGCAGTCGTTAATGATGGCCCTCTGTTTCACTCACCAAATTGTCACTCAGTCAATTTCCATCCCAGAACCAATCTAT